GCATAAGCTCGCGTAAGCCAACTCAAACTATCCAGCTGTCAAATGACGTCAAACGTATTTAAATGCATTCATTGCTTATGGTTGGCTTACGCTTACATTCTGCATAAGCCAGTGAATGGACTACGGTGGCGTATGCCATTCCATCACTGGAAATTTGTATGTGTTTGTGTGTCAAAACTGGCTAAATCGATAATACCAAAATTTTCGAAGTCCTTTTATTTTCTTATCTGAAGCGACGTGACATGGGCTATGTTTTGACGCAAAGAAAAAAAAACAAATAAAAAAATCACCATGAAAAAACTAATAAGAGATAAGAAATATTTCTCTTAAGCAAAGTTTTAGAGGATTTCGAATATTACGACTTTGTTAAAGTTACTAAACCTCTACCTCTTATCAGCATCATGAAAATCCTGACCGAATGCGGACTATCACTCATTTTCAGTAGTTTCATCACACACATTTCGAAGCAATTGCTTAAACTGGAAGAGAATCCAGTGGAGTAGGGGGATCCGACTTGGTCCAATGTGTTCTGGAAGTATAATCCTCCAGTAATCATCCCCTAGGGATTTGCAAAATTTTTGCAATATTTTTGCAGAATTCCGCTCGGATCAGCCCCAAAATTGAAAATGTGGGTCACTCTAATATGCAAGTTGCAACATTTTTTCCCATTTTGATGAACAAAATAAAAAGGTAGCGGATCAAATTATTGAATTGATTGAAAATGTGATAAATATTTGCATTGGTGAACAGTTTATTTATTAATTTTCAAAAAATGCGAGGTTTCTGCAAGTTCATTGTATTTCGAGTTTTATGCGATTTTTCTCTATTCTATTTATAACAAATCATTTTTCTTTCGAATTTTTACTTTTAAGCGATGATTCCAATGTTTTGACACAATTTTTGATAAAATGGAACAAAAAAATTTACACCGAGGGGTAAAAGTTATTTCATGATTTTGCGCCGAGATAAATTTTCGAGGGGTAAATTAAGATTTATCCCTCGCGGGGCAATAATTATCCCTCGAGGTGTAAAAATTTACCTCTCACGGTGTAAAATTTACACCTAGGTGTAAATATTTGACCTCTCGGTCCCAAAAATGAGTGAAAACTTGATTTATAAAGATTGTAGTGAATGACAGGTTGTATGAACATACATTTCTGATCGATCAGGCCATCAAACTGCGTATGATTTTGTCTTTATTCCAAAAAATAGTTTACCCCGGTGAACAAAAATTGACCATTTTTACCTCGGTGAACAAAAATTGGACAGATTTACCCCTCGGTGTAAAATTTATCCTGGTGAACAAAAATTGACCGTTAAAAGAATGTATGTTCATTTTTGGTGGGTCCTCGCGGTTTCTCACGGTTTCCGCGGAACTGATAAGAGATAAAAACATGGTGTCTTGGGCAAAGTTGTAGTACTTGAGGTCTCCTATAACATTGCTGAAGACAGTTATCTCTTATCTCTTATCAGTTCCGCGAAAAGCGCGAAAAATGATAAGAAAAAAAAAGTTCTATATAAAATTTGCTTTTTCATGAGCGCAATTTGCGCGCAACTGATAAGAGATAAGAGTTACCTGTCTTCAGCAATACTATAGGAGACCTCGAGTACTACAACTTTGCCGAAGACACCATGTTGATATCTCTTATCAGTTGCGCGAAAACCGTGAAGACCGCGGAGGCTAGACGGTACTACAACATACTTTCTTTTAACGCAGATAGAATCAACAGAAAACATACTTTCCTTTTCAAAAATATAAATCGAGAAAAAAACATACGTTCTTTTACGTCTCACGAATAGATTTTAACTTGATCAAACCCTTCCTTCTGCCTCGAATCGGGGTCGGTAGTTTGAAAAATCATGTTTCTGCAAGTATGCGACCATTTTTAACTGCTTCTAAGGCAGTAGCACTGGTGCAATGTGTTCCTTAAATGTCGAAAATTAGCTTAAGAATGGCTGGTTTAAATTTTTTTAAGCTTATCTTTAATTTAAAAAAAGCTCGAATGGTTGAATGTTAAAATATATTAAAATTGACTGTGAGTATTTGAATGGAGTTTTTAATTGGCAACATCAATCTGAGTATCATTTGAAGTCTTGATTCAATTTCAACCCTTATTGGGCTAATTTTCGACGAGAAATTCGAAAATGCAATCATTTTTGGCCAAAAATAAGGTCCACTGCCTTGATTTGGGCAGTTGTGGTGTGATTGTGCGATTTTTTCACCATTTTCTTCAATATAAGCCTCCCCAATGCCAAATTTGAGCCATATAAGTGACACGTGTTATATGCCACAAGGAACTGGACATCAAGCGCTAGATTTAAGGAACACATCTTACCAGTGCTACTGCCTTAGAAGCAGTTAAAAATGGTCGCATACTTGCAGAAACACGATTTTTCAAACTACCGACCCCGATTTGAGGCAGAAGGAAGGGTTTGATCAAGTTAAAATGTTCTACGCGTAAGTAGGATTTTTTACGAGCTTTCCGAATATTATAGTGATTTGGGGCCAAAAGCGGGTTTCTGCCCTGTTTTTGCCCTAAAATAGTGGTTTTTGTGATTTTTCGAATTTTTGAGCCTACCCTGCCCTTCCAAAGGGGTGAGCGACACCAAAAATTTGTATTATTTGATTTATTGGAGTCTGTTAGGCATTTCATCAGAACACACCACCATCGTCAGACCACCTATTTGGTGAGTAAAAAAAATTTATAGCCAAAAGCCATGTGAAAATGGTGAGATCAAAATTACATAATTTTTTTTTACATTTTTAGAAAGTGCCAGTTGAGATTCGGATTCACCATGTTTTAGATTTTGAGGTTGCCTACCATTTAAGCCTCTTCGATAAAACTCATTAGAATTGGCGATTTTTTTTTCTTCATTCATTCATTCATTCATTTATTTCAATTAACCCATTAGCGCCCAACGTCCAATTTTTAGGACGCGAAATTCGTGATTTTTTTAGTGACTTTTTTTACATTTTTCTTTCTTTCGGCTAAACGGTTGGAATTTTGGAATGAAATTTTGCAGGGTGGTTGCCAAATGTCCAGAGAGAATTTTCACAAAATTTCCCGGATTTTCCGATTTTCTATTTTCGTGAAAAGTCGAATTTTTTTTTGATCAGAATGACATGAAACTTTGGGAAAATCATATTTGGCCAAAAAATAGAATACCCACAAATTTTCATCGGAAAATTCGAAAAAAAAAAATTCCTTGGGCGTTAATGGGTTAATAAACACTGCAAACACACATACACAAACACACACATAATTGCAATAATATCAAACACATTCAACTCGACATTAGTAGTGTGGCTATGTATGTTCTGGCCCATGTCAATCAAAATGATTTATTACCCTTTTTTTTGATTGACAGTGGGTCAGTTTTGATTTTTTTTTGACATTTCTTAGACATTTGATTGATTTATTGCTCTTTTTTTTCGAATTTTTTCGAATTTTTTCGATTTTTTTTTTGACATTTTCCGACATTTTTCGACATTTGATTCAATACTGTCAATCATTTCGTCGATTTTTTCCGAAATTTCATGACATTTTGATTTATTATATGATCCGAAATCACACTTTTGCTGAGCTGAGAGCATTCGCTCTAAGCTTAGAGCATCGGCTTTCAGCTGAAATCGGATACATTGTCGTAGGTCATGGTACAAAGAACGAGAGAAGGCAAAGACCATAAATTCTACATTTAACGGTTTTTCACTTCTATGCTTCGCGGTAATACCAGCGCAGCTACTGTTATCACTCCGAAGCAGAAAACGAGAGAACCCCAAAAACGATAAAAAATTGAATTTGAACCCCAAAACGATAAATTTGACATACAATGCATTTTTTCTTCTTTCTTCTTTGCTTCGGACCAGACATAGAGTATGGAATTCGAAACAATTCTCTCGGAGGCTGAAATAAAAAATTGAATTTATTTGATCCAGACGAAATTTTTGAAAATGAAACTATGCGTTTTTGGGTCTCGAATCACACTGTACGTGTTTCGTTTTATTTTATTTTTCTTCTTCAGTACATTGAAGTCGTGTTACATGAAATTTCGTTTATTAGCCCTTTGCTTGATTTGGTGCGAGCGTTCCGTTTATTTCATTTTTTTCTTCAGTATATTGAACTAATGTTGCGTTAAATGCGGTTCTGATCGATCATGTGTTGGTGCTCTTGATTCGGTGCCGGCATATCATCTGAAATGCGAAAAAAACACATTTACATTAGCTAAAATACAATTGATTGCGAACAAAACACTCAATCTTACCCGGTTCATCATCACCGTCATCACTTTCATCACCGCTCCAGTTAGTTGCATCCGAATCGTAATCAGGTTGTTCAAAAAAAAAAGAAAGAGAAAAAAATGCAATGAGTCAAAATGAAATGAAATGAAAAAATGGAAACAGATATGAATGCCTACCTGATGATGAGATCACTGATGACTGGATACGTGTTAATTCGAATATGTCTTCCGTATTAAAGCGATATTCCTCGTATTCCGTTCGTTCGAAAAACGGAAAAAATTCATTATAGTCGGCTTCATCGCAAAATGGAAATGTTGAAGATGTAGCCGACTTTGCTTCACACTTTTTTTCACTTGAAAAATTTTGTTGGCTTGCCATTTTTGATTTTCGTCTTTCTGGTTTCACTTTCTGGAATGCTATGACTTCTAATGCGATCAAGCAGTATATTTTTGACTGTGATCAGCGGGTCATGTTTATCGTTAACGGTTGATGCGGTCAGTTTTTTAATTCTCGTCCCTTTGTTTTCACTTTCTGTAATACAATGACTTCTAATGCGTTTCGTTAACGGTATCGATATCGATTGCATCCGAAATCCTAATTCACTGGATTTTGGTGGATGTGAGCAATTTGGGTGTGAACATTTGTATACGCAAAGAGCTGCGGTTTAAATTACGTTTTCCTTTTGCACGCATTTCCATTGTATGCCCCGAATTTTGCATCGCAAATTGCACACTGATCAGTTTTTTGTCAACGTTCAACAATGTCAGACCTAATCGAAATTGAACAGCGTGAAAGCGCGTTCCAAAACCGCTTGTCAACATTCAGAATAACAAACAAAGGTCATAAAGATTTGGATGCATTTTTCGAGGATTGTTTTAAATATTTCGAACCGATGATCGAATCTCTTCTCGACGTGCATTATATGATCAAAGTGTCTACCTGTTTGCAAGCAATATTCGAAAAAAGTGTTATATCGGATTGCGGTGAAACCAAAGTAACTCAAACTATTTTCATTCACTCCAATAGTGAAATTGTGGATTTCGAAACGTTTTTGGCATCATTTTACGACGAATATATCGCTAATTATATCAAGAACCGCGTCACCGAAATAGAACTTCGCGGAAGTGGGTTTTCATTGAAAGAAATTGTTGAAATAGAAATGCAAGCATGTAGTTATGACCCCTACAATGGTGCGACGTATATCAAGACACCAAAAAAACTGGACAGTAAAAAAGCCATAATAAACGTGCAAAATGATGATAACCAGTGTTTTAAATATGCGATTTTGTCTGCAATTAAGGATATTAAAAAGAATCCTCAACGTGTCTCGCATTACAAACGTTATGATAATGAACTAAATTTCACCGACATAAAATTCCCCGTTGGGTTGAAGAATTTGAAAAAATTTGAAGAACTCAATCCAATGATATCAATAAACGTTTACATGTGGAATGAAGAAAGTGAGAAAGTGCGCCCTCTGAGGTTGACCAAAAATGTTAAATCGACACATATTCACTTGCTACTGTTAACCGAAGTTGATAAAAACAATGAAACACCGAAATCACACTATTGCTGGATTAAAAACCTAAGCGCATTGCTCAGTGCTCAAGTGTCAAAAAATTGTCGAAAAAAACTATTTTGCGATAGGTGTCTCAATCATTTCATGCATTTCGAAAAATTGGAAGAACATAAATTAGCGTGTCTAAACCAAAATGAATACCAAATTATAATGCCCAAGCCTGGACTCGATGATACTGTTACATTTGAACACTATTACAAACAATTACCAGTGGATTTTGTTGTTTATGCAGATATTGAATCAATTCTACGAAAACCAAGTGATGATGATAATTCATTCAAAAGTGAAAAAACATCAGCTTTCCAAAAACATGAGGTGTTCAGCATCGGCTTTTACAGCACAGGAGCTTATGCTGATTCGAGATATCGTTCTTATCGTGGACCTGATTGTGTTGAATGGTTTGTTAGTGAAATGGAGAGTATCGCACACACAGCAAGCGAAGTGTTGTCTAACAATGAACCAATGGAAATGACAAATGAGGAAGAAGTATTGTTTATATGGGCTGAAGAATGTCATATATGTGGAAAACCGTTCTTTGAAGAAACAGATAAAGTTCGTGATCACTGTCACAATTCAGGTGCATTTCGTGGTGCTGCGCATAATACATGCAATCTGAATTATCAAAGAGCTAAATATGTCACCGTGGTGTTTCATAATTTGTCGAATTATGATTCACATTTCATCGTTAAAGCGTTAGCTCAAAAAATCGCAGGTGACATATCTATTATACCACGAAATGATGAGGTTTATATCTCATTTTCGAAACACGTTGATGGTACCCGTGATGCGCGTACCGGAAGAGGTGGTGTAAAACTACGATTCATAGACTCTTTCCGTTTTATGTCGCGATCTCTCGACTTTCTTTCTTCAAAACTACCATCAGAACAGAAGCGAATTCTTAAATCAGAGTTCTGTAATATAAGCAGTACCTAGGGGGAAATAAGTATTTATACATTTGTATGTAATAATATTATAATCAACGAATTTCCGTATTTACTTTTATTTGCATGCATTTGCGCTAGCATTGTCAAATTAAGTGCATATTTATTACGTATTCACACTATTGAGTACACACATTCGAAATGTCAATAGTAGAAATGATACACAAATACTCACATAAGCGGCAAATGCATGCAAATGCGCGTAAATGGATTCGACTATGAGTTGACAGTTCGAAACACTGCAAGACCGATTCTCGTTCATTTGAACAGAAAATATGAGTGAGAAGGTACGTTTTCCGTTAAATTTGTTGTATTTTTTCATTTTGTTGTTTTTCTGTGGTTATTTCTCCTATTTTTATTTTATTTTGATTAATTCCGCAGCCAAGAAAAAGAAAGAACAAATTTTGGCCAAAGTTTCAAACATTTGTGGGGAATATTCCAGAATTGTTGGTCAACATTTTACAATCGGCTGGCTATGATTGTGAATTGTCCATTGCTGATTTAGACGAGACAGACATTGAAATAATCCAAAACCACGTATCGATTAAAGCTAATCATCTGTTGAAAAACTCAGCATATTCAGTGGGACAACCCTTTGAATTTTTGCCGGGTCACCGTAAAGTTTTATTTGTCCTTCGCAATAAAGCAAAAGAGTTCATTGAAGCTAACATTGAAGAGAAGAAAAAAGTTACAAGCGGTTGTGATAATACCACTGAGAGTTTCGTTGAGTTGCTAACGCCCGAGGAGACCAAGGAATTAGCAACGAAATTAATCAAAAAACTAAATACATCTAATGTTGTAAGTTCGTATGGACTAGATGAGTTTACTGAAGCGAATATTGTTGGTTCATTAGAAGCATACGTGTCGAACAACGCACGAAAGTCGCTAGGAAATTCGACCGCATCATACAAGTGTTCAGTGAAGTGTATTTCGTGTGAAAAAATTGTTCCGTGTACAAACAATAAACATTGGGAAACGAGCAATTTAGAAAAACATTTGAAGACGCATATTCAGACTCGTGATCAGATTGAGATCGTGCAAGGAAAAAACCCATTGGACGAAACACTAACAGTTCAAACAAATGATTCTCACAACATAATTAATAATAATCAAAATACTAGCGATTTTTCAAACTTACGTTTGAACGCTAAAGATCTAAACTCAATATTGGGACTGAAGTGACCGCCTTTTTCGACTTGTCAATGCATTAGTGTGAATTTATTTGACGTTTCGAAAAACATTCGTAGAACATTCGAACAACAGTTTGGCTGTCGTTTTAAAGTGTAATTAAAAGTCTCTCTTGTCTTGTGTTCAACGTGTGCTAACGATTTTCTCTTCAACGATTTTGTGTTCATAAACAGACAGAAAAAAATTAAAATGTATTTTGTAGTATATTTGCTGCAGAATAAAATTCGGATTGTCATTCCGAAAGCATGGATTCAAGATATCGATCGACATTGGGAAAAGTTTGTTAACAAAAGTCTGAATCGAAACCAAACGTTCATGGCTTACTATTCTGAAGAAGCTGACGCTATGGATCAAAATGGCATGCCCAACAACAATTTTGTACCTAATTTTACATTTGCCGGCGAGACTGTTTTCCCGGGAGCTGGTTGCTATTTCGTCAAGTTGCTCATTTACAAAGGTAAATTGCACAACATTCAATATTTATACACAGAATATTTTTTTACATAGAATATGAATTTTTTCTTGGTGTAGAATCGTTTGAAGAGGCCATGGCAATTGTATCTCGTACCCGAAATTTGCCACCACCAATTTACAATGAAAGGCGATTGTCAGAACGTCCTATTCCACGTTTGTCGTTCCGCAATGAAAATGATTTGGATCGTTCAATTCAACAAAATTCATTCGAAACCAATTTCGGTGAAGTTTCTTTCGCAAGTGATTCATACATTGAAGACAATGATAGTTTTCTTGGCGTTATTCCAAACGATGCTGGTTTCGATGGTAGTTTGGAGAACCCTTTGGCGTCAGTCGACGATGCAAATGAAAGTGCGACGGTGGAAACAGCTCCAAATCAAACTACAAATGGTTTGGCTGATGAGAATGCGATTTTGGAGGATACTTTGGTGTCAGTCGACGATGCAAATGAAAGTGCGATGGTGGAAACAACTCCAAGTCAAACTACAAATAGTTTGGCTGATGCAAATGAAAGTGCGATGGTGGAAACAACTCCGAATCAAACTACAAATAGTTTGGCTGATGCAAATGAAAGTGCGATGGTGGAAACAACTCCAAGTCAAACTACAAATAGTTTGGCTGATGAGAATGCTAGCAAAAATATTGTCAACGAAAGTGGTGTTTTTGAAAACACGGAATCGGTTGGTCCCATCAAAGACACCGATGTTCATGACCCCATCACGGCATCAGTGGAAGTTGCAACGCTGCCTGAAAATGTTGTTGATAGCAATGGCTCATGCCCAAATCCAACGACATCAAATCAAAGCGAATCGACCGTGCAAAACTTATCATCGTCATCGGAAAATGGTTCTATCGCTAGCACTTCGGAAACAGCTAATTCAAATGTGCAGATCAAACGTGAGCTGGTACTTGTTGCTGAAGCTTGCCGTGGGAACAACAATGAGTTGGAAATTCTTCTGGATGATGATGTTCAAGTAGTCGATGAATATGACAATGAAATCACCTTCACATACAATCGGAAGACTGGGTACGGCAAGCCATTCAAAGCCAATGAAAAAGGCCTGATCAAACACGAAAAAGACGTTGTATCTGGTGGCATTCCTTTTGGATCATTGGTAATTAAAGACATTTCTATAGTAAATAATATACAGTCTTAGAAATAAAAATATGACATAATATTTAATTCCTTCCTACATTTTGCTTATAATTTCAATTTTTACTATTTTTAGAAGGAGGGTCGTGTTTATATGCTCGGCGAGAAACAAATAATTGTTCCAGCCAAGGTGATTGACACTTTTCTACAGTGGAATACAGAAAAGCCTGATCAAGTTGAATATGACGAAAGACAAACAATTGCGTTGTTGCTTGTGTGCGTAACGCCCGGTGATTTAGCTCAACATAAAGTCAGCAATGATGTGATTGCTTTTTTGAAAGGTAAGTGAAAATAAAACGAATTATATGCGTAATCTAAACTTACATAGTGCACAGTTCTCTATAAGCGGTTTTCTACATTTATTACGACCATTCAGTGAAACAACTTCGTTTGTACATAGATGCCGAATCGAAAATTTGACAAACAATTTTTTGGTTTTTTTTTTTTGTTATTTTTTCTTTATTCCACGTTTTCTGTAATTTGATTAGTTCATATTTCAATTTAAATTCAAATTTAAATTCATCCTGTCGTATTATTATTAATTTTTGATCGAGAGTTCTTCATCGTAATTTTAGTCGTAAATTACTCAAATGCTAGCTCATTCATAGCCATCCTTGACGCGACCGAACTGCTCGCACATCTTCTGGTTTTTTGGGCATATTCAAATATACTTTCAGAGAGTATGGGCTTGGGCCAGATGATTTGGTCGGTGGAGAAGCAGTCAAATCATTTTTCTGCGGTTCCCATTCTTCATCTGAGGTGGTCATTTCTGGGGCGGCCTGAAATATCGTTTTTGTTGTATTCGTGCGTAATATAAAATATGTAGTCTTACCTTTTTTGGCAAATCGATGCGACGGCGAAACATTTTAAGAAATGTTGACAGCAGGTTTCCCATTTTTTCGTCGTTTATTCTTCTTTTTCAAAAAAATTGAGATTCACAAATCAATGCGATGCAGAAAAATTTTATGTTTGGAAAAAATCGGATGCGACTTGACAGATAACTAGACACATTGTGAAAAAACGCGCCGACGAGTACTTCTATCTTTCACTTGTATGGAAAGAGATATGTCAAATCAGTTGTTAAGTTGAAACGGTTAAACGGTTGAACGGTTGAACGTTCAAAAATTGACATTCAAAATTGTCGCATCTCTTCCATTTAGTAAAATTATTTTACATATATATTAATTTGGAATAAATTCAATTTTTCAGGTTTCTTGGAAGTTCGAGCTGCTGGAAACGTCAATCGATTAAATCGTTTGGAAGAATACATCGACAAATTTTGCTCTACGAAGGCAGCAAAGAAAAATTGAATGCGTTTCTCTAACGTGTTCTAAAAAGTAAAAACGTTCAGTACAAATTTAGCTTTCTTGTCATTGATTCTAAGCGCCATTACGTGGCCGAATTTTTTTACAAAAAAAAACAAATGCGATTTCCAAGTTTAGTAGAGTTACCGTAATTTGAACAAATCGGATTTTTTTAATACATCTTTGATGTGGGAACAAAAAAAAAAAATTTGAATGATGTAGAAGAAAAAAAAATGCAAATGAAGCGACAGAGAATGGAACAGAGAAAAAAGAAGACAGAAAATAAGTCACAGCCAACCAGAGAACAAAAAAAACTACAATGTAGCTACAGCGCTGCATTAGAATGTATGGCATAAAGGCTGGTGCCAACAAGAAAACTTATAATTTTTTTTTCATGAGGTGATAGTTGGTTGACCCTAGGGTTGACCTTTGTCAAACAAAAAAAATATTTTGTTCAAGTTAATAGTTAGGTTTATACATTTCAATACATATTTATCATGGAAGGAAGTGATTTTTGCTAGAGTTTTACCTTATTTTAGACCATGTTTTTACATTTCGAAACAAAAAGAAAAAAATTAGATTTGAAAAAAGCAATGAACAATAATTACCATTGATGAAGCATTTACTGAAGCAACTAATACAAATGTAAATTTCTTTTACAAAAGAGAAAAGTAATATCAATCTTAATAGTGAAAAGTATTAAATGAGAATGTAAATGAATTCAAAAACAAAAAACACGTGATATTCATTGAGTGCAAGACTAAATATAATATGATGTGATATGTCAGTGACCTTTGCCAAATAAATAAAAAAATCGTTGATACATTTCTTTATTCTTTATTGATTAACTCTGTTTAATTATTATATGTTTTGGTTTAATCTTAAACGTATTGTTTTAAATTAAGAAAGTAACTCTAAAAGGGCTTTTTTGTACTCATCAACATTTCCAGATAATTTATATGATTTTTCTTCAGATGTTTGATTGAGATCAAATTCTGGTGATTCGATGGTGACCACGTAATTTTCCATGCTATTGAAAAATGAAGGGACTGAAAATAACTCTAATCGAAGATCATTTTTCAAACGATGCCACAGAGAGAGAACTCCTATTCCACGATTATTCGACACACTGGGAGATGTGGGCGCTACATCTAAACCATATTGTCTATCCTTCTTTGTTTTTCCATCCATATATTTGAAACATAAGACACAACCTATAATAATATTTTCATTAAGATCATTTTCAGAAAGCATGTGATGCTCTTCTCCAGAATATCGAAATATACACCACTGTCCGATATCAATCTGTTTTTCAACACGCAATCCACATTGTGGAAAAGATTTTATCACCAGAGAAATATCATCTCGTAGTTGAGATTTTCTTTTATTAGATGCGATTTCTTTTGGTAACTTCACTCTCTCCAAACGATCTTTGCTTAAACTCATTGGTGAGTCCGTTATCATGCTAACAATAGCCGACTTCCTTATGAGTTTTGTCGAGCCGCCTTCATCACAAACTTGAATAAATCGGCTATTTCCATCAAAATCAGATACCGTTTCGGAGTAGTCACGGAAATAAGTAAAATCGACCATATCGTCAGCTAAATTATTGGTATCGATTTCATCACTTTCTATCGGTTCATTCACATCATCCACTTTTCTGAACAAAACATTTCCTTTGGTAATTTCACATCGTTGAATATGGTCGGCATCGATTTTCATACCAAGTTTGGCCGCGTCCAATAGAGCTTCTTGCAATGATTCCTCGAGAGTACTTCGTAGATCTTCATCGGTTGGCATCTCAAAAAGTTTATGATTTTCACAACGATTTTGAATTCTTGGTAATATGGCCACATCGGGCATACGGAAGTAAGCAATATCGTTTTGAAGTTCTACTCTACTTATCATATGCAATAGTTCGAGCATAGAGAAATTTATTTTGGTCCAGTTGGCTGTCGTCATGGATCGCAGCTGTCGGAATGTCCGCTCGCACGGCTGACTATTGAATAACGTAATTAAGAACAAATGTGACTGCTTGGCCTCCCGAAACTTCCTAATTAAATGTAGAATTCCGTAAGCATTCAATTCCAAGCATGTGAAAGCATTTTGCGAAATAAAATTATCTTCTGTGTGGTATTTGACTGGTTCATATGTAGAAATCCATTGTTTCCATGCGCGAAAGAAATACAATGACCGCCATACCATAGACACTCTTTCTAAGGGACTCAAGTCTACTTTGGTGAATGCATCTGTGATGTCTCTCGATAGTTTTAAATACTTGACAGTAGCTTCACTGTGCGGTACATACTTTGTCAGGGCACTTAAAACTCGATTGCTGCTTACTTTTTCAAACGAGGCAAAATTTTGCCTGTCTTCAGGGCATATGTCACTCAGCACCAAACCATGTATTTCTTTTCTGACTGTCTTGATTAAAATTTTCAAGTGAGATACAGAAACTTGAAAAAATCCCATTGGCAAAAGGATTGACAACTGCAGCAATCTATTCCTTATTTTCGTTGCCAAGTGAAATATATCTTGTATAAAAGATATACTTTGTTCATAGTTTAAATTGCTTAAAACATCAGAGGACAGCTGATTGCACATTGCGTTCAAGGATTGTTTCATGCTAACCAGTAGTCGTGCATCGCCATCTGCAGATATGCCTGCTATTTCGATATCACACCTGAAAGAATGCATTGCATGATATAGCTTTGAAAATTAATTTGTATAAAATGAAGTTTGAAGCATACATTGCCAATTGATCTTTCATTTGTTTCCAACGTAGAAGAACATCTTCTGTTTTGAAACGATTATCCGTACCGAAAACTTGTAATATAAAAGGTGGGACGTTGTCCATCAAAGGTTGTGCAAGAACTAAGTAGACGAGCTTAGATTTTGAGTTATGATTGATTTGTTCTTCAATATCATTCATCGATTGTGGGGTAAAAGAGAACGGAATAGGCATTCCTGTGTGATTTGTAGGCAAAACTAAGCCTACCAACTGGTTTGTAGACGAATCATATGAAATCTGAGCCACAATCCCAGAAGCATCCTCGGATATCCAAACTTTCTTGGGTGCTTTCAAATCACGCAAATATTCGGCCAATTCTTGACATCTCAGCTGACCTTCGATGACCCTTTTTTTTCTTTGAGAGATGTAGTTCACTATATAAAAAAAATGACAATATGTACTATCAATCAATATCACAAAGAGTTTGAGTTCATAAGAAAACCTATACTCACTTATAGTTGGAATCTGCGGTAATGGTAAATTTTTACTCAATACCTCATAGGCGGCTTTTCCACTTAATATATATATATAGGTGGCGAACCATTGGATATTTTCTGAATAACGTCGAGATGTTGGTGCAACATTTGAATTGGCCTTCATTGTGTTGATAAGATCTTTCATGATATTCGTGACTTCGTTAAAATCCAAGACATTTTCATTGCCTGTTTTGCTTGCACTGGGCTCATATATTTTTGCTTTTTGGCCAAGTAAAAGAAGTAATTTTTTATGTCCAGGCAAAAAACAGAATGGTTTTTCACTAGGATATTGACACTGTTTCAACACATGTTGCAATTTTTCATCAGTGAATTTTTCTATCCTGACTATTTCTTCCAGCTCCATTCCAGATAGTAACATGGGATCGTTGTATCCATTAGCTGTTAAGATGGCAACAATCTCACTTGGGATATTGATTCCCAAAAATATTTGAAAATCCTTCCACATTTCTCGCAAATAAATTAACACAGTAGATGGTTTTTGTTTACTTTGTTTTGAGTTTGACATTTGTATTTTTTACTATGCATAAAAGCAATTTTCGAAATGTCAAACAATAACTATGTATTAGTATCTCTGTAGTGTCGGCAACACAGTTCTGACTTTCGAAGGTCATTTGATATATTTGCAAATGCATGTCTTGATCATGCTGAGCATTCGCACGCATTTGCAATATTTCCGTGTTATCTCATTTATTCGAATAATTCATTGTTATTGTTTGTATTTATGTTTTTATTTGCAAACTAAGAAAGGAATTTGCGTCGTTATTTCCCCCTAGAGCAGTACACAACTGAAACTGCTTGAACGAAAAGGTGTTTTCTGCTATGACTATTTGGACTCTGTTGACAAGCTTTCCGAAACAGAATTGCCTGCAAAGGAGAAATTTTACAGTAAACTCAATGAGTCTGCCATTAGCGATGAAGAATACGCACACGCTCAAAACGTATGGAAAACCTTTGATGTTAAAACGCTAGGAGAATATTCGGACCTGTACTTAAAAACAGATGTGCTTCTTCTCGCTGATGTATTTGAAAATTTCCGAGGAACGTGTCTCCACAATTTTAAACTAGACCCTGCGCACTATTTTACCGCCC